GGCATGGAAGACATCAGAGAAACTATTGCTACAAAGACTATGGAGCATAAAAATAGTTGTGATGAATTAAAAAATGCTATAAATGAGATGCATAATAAAATGGAGACGACCACTGCACGGATTGAAGAGGTAGAGAGGAGAATAGGTGAATTAGAAAACACAATTACAGAAAAAGAGGAAGCCAAGAAAAAGAGAGATAAACTGATCCAAGAACACGAAAGGAGAGTTCAAGAGCTGAGTGATACAATCAAATGGAACATTATCTGTATCATAGGAATTCCAAAAGAGGAAGAGAGAGGGAAAGGCACTGAAGGAGTCCTTGAACAAATTATAGCTGAGAACTTCCCTTATCTAGGGAAGGAAACAAACATTGAAATCCAAGAGGCACAGAGAACTCCCCTCAGACGTGACTTGAATCGATCTTCTGCACAACATATTATAGTGAAACTGACAAAATATAAGGATAAAGAGAGAATTCTGAAAACAGCTAGGGATAAAAGGGCCCTAACATACAAAGGGAAACCTATAACGGTTGACAGACCGGTGACAGATGGGTGACAGACCCGTCTACTGAAACTTGGCAGGCCAGAAAGGAATGGCAAGAAGTCTTCAATGTGATGAACATAAAAAAAAATGCATCCAGGAATCCTCTATCCAGCAAGCCTGTCATTCAGAATAGAAGGAGAGATAAAGGTCTTCCCAAATAAGCAAAAATTGCAAGAATTCATAACCACTAAACCAGCCCTACAAGAAATCCTGAGGGGGACTCTATGAGGGAAATGTTGCAAGGAGCACAAGGTACAAGAGACACACTACAAGCATGAATCCTACAGAGAACACAATGACTCTACACCCATATTTTTCAATAATAACAATGAATGTAAATGGACTAAATGCTCCAATCAAAAGACATAGAGTAGCAGAATGGATAAAAAAAACAAATCCATCTTCTTGCTGTCTACAAGAAACTCATTTTAGACTGGAGGACACCTTCAGATTAAAAGTAAGGGGATGGAGAAATATCTATCATGCTACTGGAAGTCAAAAGAAAGCTGGAGTAGCTATACTTATATCAGACAAACTGGACTTTAAAGTAAAGGCAGTAAAAAGGGATGAAGAAGGGCATTATATAATTACAAGTATATCCATCAGGAAGAGCTAACAATTATAAATGTGTACGCACTGAATACGGGAGCACCTAAATACATAAAACAATTAATCACAAACAGAAACAATCTTATGGATAAGAATGTGCTAATAGCAGGGGACTTTAATAATCCACTTACAGCAATGGATAGATCAACTAGACAGAAAGTCACTAAAGAAACAATGGACTTGAAAGACACATTGGACCAGATGAATTTGACAGATACATTTAGAATTCTACATCCTGAGAACCTGGAATTCATTTTCTACTCAAGTACGCATGGCACATTCTCCAAGATAATTCACATAGCAGGACGTAAAGCAGCCCTCAATAAATATAAAAGAATTGAGATCATACCATGCACACTTTCAGATCACAATGCTAGGAACCTTGAAATCAACCACAGGAAGAAGTCTGGAAAACCTCCAAAAACATGCAGGTTAAAGAACACTCTACTAAACAATGAATGGGCCAATCAGGCAATTAGAGAAGAAATTAAAAAATATATGGAAACAAATGAAAATGAAAATACAACAATACAAACTCTATGGGATGCAGGAAAGGCAGTTCTAAGAAGAAAGTACATTGCACTCCAGGTCTATTTCAAGAAATTAGAAAAAGCACAAGTACAAAATCTAACAATGCACCTAAAGGAACTAGAAGGAGAGCAACAAGAGCACCCCAAACCCGGAGAAGAGAAATAATAAAAATCAGGGCAGAATAAACAATATCGAATCCAAAAAAAAAAAAAAAAAAAAAAACAGTTGAACAGATCAATGAAACCAAGATTTGGCTTTTTGAAAAAATAAACCAAATTGACAAACTTCTAGCCAGGCTTCTCAAAAAGAGAAGAGAGAGCACCCAAATAGATAAAATCATGAACGAATATGGACTTATTACAACCAACCCCTCAGAAATACAAGCAATTATCAGAGAATACTATGAAAAATTATATGCCAACAAAATGGACAACTTAGAAGAAATGGACAAATTCCTAAACACACACTCATTACCAAATTCACATGGGAAGAGATAGAAAATCTGAACAGACCCATAACTAGTGAAGAAATTGAATCAGCTATCAAAAATCTCCCAACAAGTAAGTGCCCTGGGCCAGATGGCTTCCCTGGGGAATTCTACCAGACATTTATATCAGAGTTAATACCCATTCTTCTCACGCTATTCTGAAAAATAGAAATGGAAGGAAAATTTCCAGACTCATTCTACGAAGCTAGTGTCACTTTGGTTCCCACGCCAGGCAGAGACCCAGCAAACAAAGAGAACTACAGGTCAATATCCTTGATGAATACAGATGCAAAAATCCTCAACAAGATACTTGCAATTCGAATGCAATAGCACATAAAAAGAATTATCCACCATGATCAAGTGTCATTCATTCCTGGGTTACAGGTCCCATTCAATATTTGCAAATCAATCAATGTGATACATCACATTAACAAAAGAAAACATAAAAACCGTATGATCCTGTCGATAGATGCAGAAAAAGCATTTGACAAAATACACCATTCCTTCTTAATAAAGACCCTCAAGAAAGTAGGGATAGAAGGAACTTACTTAAACATCATAAAAGCCATCTATGAGAAGCCCTCAGCTAACAACATCCTCAATGGGGAAAAACTGAGAACTTTCCCCCTGAAATCAGGACCAAGACAGGGATGTCCACTCTCCCCACTGTTGTTTAACATAGTGCTGGAAGGCCTATCATCAGTAATCAGACAACAAAAGGAAATAAAGGGCGTCAGAATTGGCAAAGAAGAAGTCAAACTCACTTTTTGCAGATGACATGATACTCTACGTGGAAAACCTGACAGACTCCACCAGAAGCCTACTAGAAATGATTCATGAATTCAGCAAAGTTGCAGGGTACAAAATCAACGTACAGAAATCGATTGCATTTTTATACACCAAAAATGAAGCAACAGGAAGAGAAATCAAGGAACTGATCTCATTCACAATTGCACAAAAAACCATAAAATACCTAGGAGTAAACCTAACCAAAGATATCAGAGATCTGTATGATGAAAACTAGAAAAAGCTTATGAAAGAAATTGAAGAAGACACAAAGAAATGGAAAAACATTCCATGCTCATGGATTGGAAGAATAAATATTGTTAAAATGTCACTACTACCCAAAGTAATCTACACATTCAATGCAATCCCAATCAAAATTGCACCAGCATTCTTCTCAAAGCAAGAACAAACTATCCTAAAATTTTATGGAACCACAAAAGACCCCTAATAGCCAAAGTAATATTGAAGAAGAAAACCAAAACGGGAGGCATCACAATCCGAGGCTTTAGCCTCTGCTACAAAGCTGTAATCATCAAGACAGTATGCCACTGGCACCAAAAACAAAACAAAACAAAACAAAACAAAACAAAAAAAAAAAACCACATAGACCAATGGAACAGAATAGAGATCTCAGAATTGGACCCACAAATTTATGGCCAACTAATCTTTGACAAAATGGGAAAGAGTATCCAATGGAAATAAGACAGCCTCTTTAACAGATGGTGCTGGGAGAACTAGACAGCAACATGCAGAAGAATGAAACTTGATCATTTTCTCGCACCATACACAAAAATAAACTCAAAATGGACAAAGGACCTGAATGTGAGACAGCAAAACATCAAAATGCTAGAAGAGAAAACAGGCAACAACCTCCTTGACCTCAACCATAGCAATTTCTTACTTGACACATCTCCAAAGGCAAGGGAATCAAGAGCAAAAATGAACTACTGGGACCTCATCATGATAAAGTTTCTGCACAGCAAAGGAAACAATCAATAAAACTAATAGGCAACTGATGGAATTGGAAAAGATATTTGCAAATAACATATCAGATAAAGGGCTGGTACCTGAAATCTATAAGAAACTCACCAAACTCCACACCCGAAAAACAAATAATCCAGTGAAGAAATGGGCAGAAGACATGAACAGACACTTCTCCAAAGATGACATCCAGATGGCCAACAGACACATGAAACAATGCTCAATGTCCCTCATCATCAGGGAAATACAAATCAAAACCACACTGAGATCCCACCTCACACCAGTCAGAGTCACTAAAATGAACAAATCAGGAGACTCTAGATGCTGGTGAGGATGTGGAGAAACAGGCACCCTCCTACACTGTTGGTGGGAATGTAAACAGGTGCAGACTCTCTAGAAAACAGTGTGGAGATTCCTCAAAAAATTAACAATAGAACTCCCCTATGACCCAGCAATAGCACTGCTAGGAATTTACCCAAAGGACACGGGAGTGCTGATTCATAGGGGCACAAGTACCCCAATGTTCATAGCAGCACTCTTAACAATAGCCAAAACATGGAAAGAGCCTAAGTGTCCATCAACAGATGAATGGGTCAAGAAGATGTGGTTCATCTATACAATGGAATACTACATGACCATGAGAAAGAATGAAATCTGGCCATGTGTAGCCACATGGATGGAACTAGAAGATGTTATGCTGAGCGAAATAAGTCAGGCAGAGAAGGACAGATACCATATGTTTGCCCATATAGGTAGATTAGGAGGAACTTAACGGAGAACCACGGGGGAGGAGAAGGGGAAAAATTGCTGGGGAGAAGGAGGTAGGCAAACCATGAGAGACTTTTGAATGCTGAGAACAAACTGAGGGCTGATGGGGTGAGGGAGAGGCGAAGGGGGATGATGGGCATGGAGGAGGGCACTTGTGGGGATGAGCACTGGGTGTTACATGGAAACCAACTTGACAATAAACTATTTTTAAAAAATAAAAAAAATAAAAGTAAAAATAAAAGAAAATTTTTTAAATTAAAAAAAGATTAATTAAAAACATTCTTTTTTTCAGATACCAGAAGTTAGTGGAAATAATGATCAAGAAAATGACTATGAAGATGATTTTACTTCATTATTAGCATATTCTCCTAGTAAGTGTTTCTGTACATTATGAATACATGTTATATATAACACTTACATTAAAGTACATGTAACTGGTAAAGTAAGGCTGAACAGAGCATGAGAGTTCAGTCTTGGAGAGCATGGGAAGACATTTAATTAACTGAATGTGTTCTAATTTATAATACGGTAGAGATGTTACTACATTATCTTGCCAATTGAGATACTTCTATTAAGTTCAGGTTTGAATAATCAAACACCAGTTTTTCCTACCCAAAGAGAATACACAATTCAGACTGATGCAAATATTTTGACTATTTGACAACTCTACTTTTTCAGTATTTTTTAAAACAAAGTCACATTCTTTTTAGACCTTAGTTTTCTCTGCCAGGAAATGAGAAGCGTGGACTAGGTCTCTCTCTAAAGTCCTTCCTGGCTGTAATAGGATGTGGTTCTATATCCTAAAGTCTGAGGACTAACTCAGCCTCCCTACATGTATATAACTACCCATTATGCCAGATTGCGCTGGTATACAATAACTTGCTTCCCCAGCACATCTGATAGGCATCCCCCGTTCAACATTTCCAAATCCAAAACCCTAATGCCAGACACTTCCAAACCTACACCACCTGCTGACTTTCCCATTCAGTAAGTGAAGATTCTTTCTTTGTTTAATTTCCCTGGAAGTACCCCTTGGCTTTTGTACTTCCTCTCTCACCCCACATCCAGTCTGTCAGAAAATACTGTTGTTTCTACATTTGCAGCATAGCCAGCATTCAGCGGTTCCTCAATCTTTCATTATTTATCCTAATCCATGCTGCCATCAGCTCTTCCTGGAATATTGCAGTAGCACAGTGGTTCTCAACAAAGGACTGTTTTCTACTCACAACTGATGATATTCGTCAATGGACAGCAGTTGTTTTATTATCATGATTTAAGAAGGGAGCTTCCCAACTGGCATCTGGTGGGTGGACACTAGCAATTCTGCTAAATACCCCACGATGCATAGGACACATACCCCACACAACACAGAATTATCTGGTCCGAAATCTCAGCAGCACTACTATTGAGAAACCCTGCAATGGCAGCTTCCACATTTGCCACTCCTAATTCTCTGCGCTTCGTGAAAGAACTAATCACTTTTCTGTTCCAAATTTCCCTCTACTTTCTCTTCATCCTTATAATTCTTATCATCATCTAAACGTTATCCCTAGATAACCTTTCTGGTCCTATCCCAGACCCCTCTGTTTGTTCACAGCCACAGTGACGTCTCACATATCAGCCATGCTCTTGCAAGGTATTGACCTTTTAACACTGAACAGCTGATGCTCAATAACCATTATTGACCACTAGTTTTTCAAATGGTAGCCTGATCTGCAAATCAGATAATATTAAGTATCTTAACTAGTTATTTAAATATCTTAAAATATAATGTTTTAACTAGCATGCTTTGGCAAATCAGGAATCAACTTCAAAAGTTATGGCATAACAAAATAATGCTAATGTAATGACTCAATGCACTGAGTTTTAAAGTCATACATTTTATTTTCATTTTTGATAGTAATAAAAATGATGACAAAGGCCGTCACAGATGATGACCGTTTATTTATTATGAAATTTAATCCTCAGAAGGGCTTCCTATAAAAAGAAAACATTATTTCAATTAGTTATAGAGAACAACCTCGTTTCTAAAGACGACTGGGACCTGGAATTGTCTTGTTTAGGAAACTGTGTGACTGGACTCAGGCCTCAGGTTCTTTCATAAGATAAGGGGTGAAGCACGGCTCACCTTAGCAGATTTCCATTAGTGTCATCATGACTGTGAAGCTGGCCAAAACTCACTCACCTACCACATCCAACCCTCCAGGGCTGGGTTCCAGGTTTGGGCATTTCTGACAGGGGCCAAGTAGACTCTGTTGCTTAGACCGTGTAAACATAAAACATAAATACTGAATACATCAACGTAAGGGTGGCTACAAGTAATTTCCTATAGCACGAGTGTAATTCTAAGTTGATGATCGATTTGCCCAGACAGAAATAGTGAAGTCCCTTTGCTAGCTTAAGCAGTAATTTCTTTTCAGTCACTGCATCGTCTACTCCATCAATATTTCTAGAGACTACTTTATCTCGAGCTCGGTGTTCAGTGTTAGAGCTAGAAAGATGAATGAGACCGGTGCAAGAATGAAAGGCTGGCCGCTCTGCCCAGGCTACTAATTAAAGAATCTTGGTCTGTCATTTTAATACTGAAGCTGTACCTTTCCTCTTTCTCACGTGAAAAGAAAGAACAATAAAAAATTAACTTCCATGTAGAAATATGGAGTGCTATCACGGGCACAGTTTTTCTTCATGACTAATTTTCTCCCATAACTGAAAAGTTTCTACAGCATAACTCTTCATTGTTTGTTTTTTTTTTAAAAAGGCCTTTTTTCCCCCATACTCTGCCAACTGGCTTCTTTAGCTATATTTCAGCTTAGCAACACTTTAAAACAACAGTCATCCACTCGTCTCTTGCACGGACGATGACAGCAATTCACATATTCCTTCCAATGTAGAGATTCTAAGTTTGTTTTAAAGTTTTGTGAATCCTTTATTTAAAGCAGAATTTTTATAAAGAAAATTTAAACAACAAAATTTTAGGATTTGAAGTTATTGCGTTATATTATCTTTTTTCAGCTTTCTACCTGGGTACTTATTGTGTACATTATAAAAACAAATGGTGGAATCATGATTCTTAGGATGGAGGGAATTTGGATTATTTGGTTAAGTTTCAGGATAGGATGTATTTTATAGATGACAGAATGGAGTCTTAGAAAGGTTTACCTACCGTTGGTGATTTGGATGCCTTCTCCACCAAAAAATATTAACACTTTACTCAAGTAATGTTTTCAAGAGTTAAGATATAATCTGGTGATAATTATATATTAAAACACTAAATAAGATCACAGATTTACCTTTATTGCATTATTTACTAGCAAGTTAAGGTTTATTATTTTTCCTTGTATTTACCTTTTCCATAATTTATTACTTCTTAGGTGAGTTATGCTGTTTTCTAATAAAAATGCCATCATGCAGTCACATATGATAGGCAGATATATGAATCTGCTCAAACAATGGCTCTAGAGAATCCGAATGTTATTGTATGTATGTGTCATATAGTGAGGTAGCAAGATATAATGAAGCTTTAACCATTCATTTGGTAAATATTCTAAAAGCCCAAGAATGACTATTCACTAAAATTATGCGTTTGTCAGCTTTCCACTCTATCAGATCATAAAAGTTTGATTAGCAGTACTGCCACTTCTGTATGAAATTAGAAAATACGAGATGCCTCCAGACAGTGTGTTTAAGTGAAATCTATCATCTTCATCGTAAACAGGCTTACAGAACCCAGCATTTCATCCTGAAAGTGGACAGACATACAGACAGTGTGCAGAAGGAGATGAGGCAGATGAGCTGGCAAAGGAAGATAAAGTGAATGAATCGGGCACCGAGGCTGAGCACAGCCTCGCGGAGGTTGGGGTTGGCGCTTCTGTGAACCAGTATGATGATGACTTGTATGTGTTCATTCCTGAAGACAATCCAGAACATAATTCACGAGAGCCCCTCGTGAGCAACAGACCACCTCTCCCCCCGCCACGACCTGTAGCTGCTGCCTTCCCGCTGGAAAAACTCCACTGCACATTACAGGGTAAGTTTAAGGGTTAAAACAACAACAAAAGTGTGACGGGCTTCATTACCATATAGCGCAGTGGCAAATCTATACAGGGAAGATCAGCCTTTAAAACCAAGAACAACTTTCTTGCCGTTCCTTTAAGGCCTCAGAAATCAGGCAAAAGATACCTGCCATTAATTCCCTTTCCCTCCCTTCCTTCCTTCCTTCCTTCCTTCCTTCCTTCCTTCCTTCCTTCCTTCCTTCCTTCCTCCCTCCCTTCTTTCCTCCCTTCCTTCCTCCCTTCCCTCCTTCCTCCCTTCCTTCCTTCCTCCCTTCCTTCCTTCCTCCCTTCCTTCCTTCCTCCCTTCCTTCCTCCCCCCCTTCCTTCCTCCCTTCCTTCCTCCCTTCCTTCTTCCCTTCCTTCCTTCCTTCCTCCCTCCCTCCCTT